TCCGTGGGCTCTGCGCCCGTGGGCTCTGTGTCCGTGGGCTCTGCGCCCGTGGGCTCTGCATCCGTGGGCTCTGCGCCCGTGGGCTCTGTGCCCGTGGGCTCTGCATCCGTGGGCTCTGCATCCGTGGGCTCTGCGTCCGTGGGCTCTGTGTCCGTGGGCTCTGCGCCCGTGGACTCTGCATCCGTGGGCTCTGCGCCCGTGGGCTCTGTGCCCGTGGGCTCTGCGCCTGTGGGCTCTGTGCCCGTGGGCTCTGCGCCTGTGGGTTCTGTGCCCGTGGGCTCTGTGTCCGTGGGCTCTGCGGGGCCCTCCGGGCCCTTCATCCCGGGCTTCCCCACACAGGCGGTCAGTGCCTTAGGTGGGGTCTGGGCTTCTACTGGCTGAGGGGAAGAGGTGACCCCACCCCAGCCTAGTCCAGTGGGGAGGCCAGACTGAACAGAAACTGTCCCCTTTCCCCCCCCCCCCCGCGCAACTTCTTGACTCTTAGAGCTGCCTTTGGGCTGCCAGAAGGAGACAATGAAGCCTTCCGTGGGGAGGGTGGTTAAGTGCTCAGCCACTGGACTTTGGTGTTGGCCTCCTGCCTGGCGCTGAAGCCCTTTAAATTGGGGGTTCCGCCTTGAACCCAGCAGATCAGTTGTTCTTCCTTGGAGGGTCAGCACACCCCATCTCAGGGAAGTTTCCAGACAAATGTTGTTGCAAGGGAAAGAAGCTGGTAGCACCTTGCGTTATGACATCTGTTCAGTCGAGGGGACTTTTGAATCGTGTCCGTGGGTTTCCGGATCCTCTCTCACCTGGGCGGAGGGGACGGGGCCTGGCTGGCACGGCCGCACACCTACTGTGCGCTTGGGCTCGACAGCGGCCCTCACCTGCCTGTGAGGGAGTGGGGACAGATCCCCATTCCCCAGGTAGGGAAACTGAGGCCCACGAAACTGAGGTTCTGTGCCTCCTGGCTGCACTCTGCTCCAGAGTGCCCTGGTCACACCTGTCAGGTGTCCTCCCGCCACTTCTGCCCACTCTGGTCTGCCCGCCCCACGATGTGCGTTTAAGAAATGGTGGGATTTTTGAAGGAAGGGGGGGCCCAAAGAACCCCTATCTGGAGACCCACATCCAAAGTCTTTCAGGAGGCGGGATGCTTGAGGAAGAGGGGAGCCCTTGGGAAAGTCTGGGGGGCCAGGCCAAGACCCTGACTCAGCAGGAAGCCAGCTCTGGCCCTGGCCCTGCCCCGTTTGCCCTGGTCACTGGCTATTCTGAAGCCAGAGAGGCAAGGGGGTCTTGCTCGGCGTGGAGACAGTTCTGGAGGGATCCTGGAGGCAGCCTAGACCCCCCCCCAGCCCCCACCCTCCCTGTCAGTGCTGCTAGGCCCCCATTCATACTGGCTGCCGTGCAGGAGAGAAGTGGTAGGAGCAGGGCATATCGGGGCGAGCGGGCGCCCTAACAGAGAACAGGTTACTCCCTGCACCCAGCCCCGGACACAGGAACACCCGGTTCCCATTAACCCACGGGCAGCAGGCTCGAGGGGCAACGAGACGTGCTGAGGCCACTTGTGCGTAAGTGGCAGAGCTGGGACTTGATCTCACGTCTGAAGACCATCAGCTCACATGCCCCGTCCACGGCCATGTGCCCCACAGGAAAGCCACACGGCTCGGGGCGGCGCTGGGCCTGCCCTCTGCTCGGCCGCGGGTCGTCTGCCCGTGGATCCGCGTGCTTGGTGGGTGCTGTGACTGTCGGGCTTCTGTCTGCCTTGCTGACCCTGAGCCGGCCAGATGGAGCCTGGTGGGGCACCCCCTCTCCGCTGTTCTCAGCCTCTGGCACGGCAGCTCACCCACTCCTCCACGACCCGTGAGGTGGGTATGGCGCCCTGAGCCCGCTTTCCAGATGAGAAAACGGGCTCAGAGAAGACAAGCAACTTGCCAGGGCAGTGAGGAGATGGTGGAGCTGAGACAGTGTCCAGGCCTTTCAGGCAGGTGTGATCTCGGCCATTCCTACCAAGGCAGGGCTGGGGGCGGGGTGTGGACGCATATCTGACGTCACACAAGGGCTGAGACCCTACCAGGCTCCCAGAAGGGCAAAGATCTTCATTTGCCAAGTTCCCTACCCTGGCAGTCCAGGCTGGATGTGCCCCCCACCCACCTCCTCACGCCGCCCAGCCTCCTCCTCACCGTCCTTCCCATTGTCCTCTGTCCCCACCCAGGACTGGAGTCCGGCCACATCCGCGGTGCCCTCAACATGCCGTTCACCGAGTTCATGACAGAGGACGGCTTCGAGAGGAGCCCGGGGGAGCTCCAGGCCATGTTCCAGGCTAAGGAGGTGGACCTGGCCCGGCCCATCATTGCCACGTGCCGGAAGGGCGTCACCGCCTGCCACGTCGCCCTGGCCGCCTACCTGTGTGGCAAGCCCGACGTGGCCATCTACGACGGCTCCTGGTTCGAGTGGTTCCACCGGGGGCCCCGGGAGACATTTGTGTCCCAGGGGAAGCCCTGAGCCCCCCCCCCAACCCGGCGCTCCATGCATTTCAGCTCGCCATCCGTGTGGGCCGTCGCCTCCCCAGCACGCCGGAATAAACGTATTTGAGTGGCCATGTTTGCCTGCCTGCCTGGCTTTCTTCTTTGCCCCACACTCTCCTCCCCTCAGACTCCCCAGAACCCGCCAAGGAGAGAAACCAGCCATGCGCTAAGAAAGCCATGCCAAGGACACCACATTGTTGTTCAGTTTGGGCAAAGGAGGCCGCTTGCCAGCCCCAGAGTATGCTGGGACCGACGTGGGGGCCAGAGAGACGAAACCAGGGCTGAGCAGGCCCTGCCTTCTGCTGCCGGCCCCAGGGGGCCACGGGCAGGAGGGGGCAGATGGCCTTTCTTCAGGTGTCCAAAGAGGCATCCCGCAGGCCCGGGGGCCTCTGGAAGAGGCCGTGCTCAGAAGCAGGTCAGAGGGAGCCGGCCTCCTCCTTGGGTGCCCTTCCAGGCCCAGACTCAGACCCTGGGGTAGCAACAGGAGAAGGGGCTGCAGGGGCAGCCCGCCCCGGGGGTCTCTGCACTCTGGCCGTGTGGACCAGGAAGCTGCTGGAGAAGCGTGTAACCTGGTGGAGTGGACCCATGTGGCTGGATTTCAGGTTTCCCGTAACAGGTTCTCCAGACCCTCCTTGGGGTTGCAAGATGATTCCAGGCCCATCTACCGGGGATTCCCTGCTCTCTGCTGACCAGGCTTCTCGGGTTAAGGGGGGTCCCAGCGACCCAAGGACCAAGGCCATCAGTGATGTACCCCAGGCCCCTCAGCGGTGTACCCCAGGCCCCTCAGCGATGTACCCCAGGCCCCTTCGCCCAGCTCAGGGCAATTGGTTGCTCAGCAAATGCTTCTGGGGCTGCCTTGGGGCTGGTGGCGATGGAGCCGAGGCCGGCCGCAGTGGGGAGGGTGAGGGCTGGCGCTCCCACCGTGCAGGTCTCACGGATGGACCATGGCAGCTCTTCTTCCACTTGCACAGTCTCCAACTCCTCCGCCTCCTTCCCTTCTCCTCTCCTCCTCTTCCTGCTTCTCCAAGCCCAGAACTCACTCAGTGGCCACATTTATTGTGCACCTGGCTCTCTGGGCACAGAAGCCCACCCGCTGCTCACATGCGGTGCTCATCCTACTTGGAGAAAGAATAGATGAATATCGGTAGCTTTAGGGAAAAAGGTAGGGATTAAAAAAAAGGGGAGCGTGGGGTAGGTTTGAATTTATTTTTGAAAGGTGATCTGGGGAGGTGAGCAGAGTCCTGAAGGAGGTAAAAAAGCAAGTCCTGTAGATACCTGGGAAGGAAAGTTGCTGTAACGGGCCCGTGCAAAGGCCCTGGGGCCAGACTGGTGCATCCAAGCAGCAGTGGGTGTCAGTGAGTAGCAGCCTGAAGTTCACACCCCCGAGAGCCTTCCTCGGGGCGGCCAGAGCCTCTTCACCAGCAAGAGCTGGCAGTGTGGGACTGACGCAGCTTTGCCAGTTTATCAGGAACTTTTTAGAACACCAGAAAGGAGATGATAACCACGGCCATTATACAGGCAAGCGCTTCAGCTTAGCGACTTCCCGCTGTGGTTACAAAACACACCACTGTCTCACCCATCTGGTCATGTGCCTTCTTCCTTGAATTGAGGGACATGTTGGGGCTCCCACTGGGCTCTCTGGCCGGCAGCCAGCATGAAACTGAGGCCCTTGACCAGCAGGCCCTGAGGAGCTGTGTCCTGTAGACAATCACCCAGACTTGGAAGCAGACCCTTCCCCAGTCCAGCCTCCGTCATGACTGCGTCCCCACAGCCTTCGGAGACCCTGAGCCAGGCCCAGGCCCCTCCCCAGCAACTGGGAGACAAAGCGTCACGCGGCTGAGTTTCCGGTAAAGCTGTTGTGTAGCAACATGACATAGGAGACATGCACCAAAGCAGGGAGCCAAGAGGCGAGAGGTGGTGGTGGTATGAACTGGGCTAAAGGGGCCCTCTGGGGTTTCAACGGACTGGTGGCTGGCTCGTGGCAGCTCTGTGGATTCATACCTGGCCAGGCACTGAGCTAGGCGGTTCACAAAGCGAGTGTCCATCTCACCCTCACCCTGAGGTCGGTGAGCTGTACGCGGTGCACATATGAGGAACGTTTAGCTTAAGGATCTGACCAAAGTCACTCCCCTGAATGGCCAGTCCCGACTTGGGGCGCCCCAATGCGTGCTGGAGAGACTCTGGACGCTGGCTGCGCAGCTGGCATTCCCTCCACGAGCGCCCTCGGGCCCTGCGCGAGCCACACAGGATGGAGCTGCAGGCGGCACCAGCGTGCAGCCTCTGAGCTTGCTCGCCTTCGTGGCCCTTGGCTCCGGGGCCTGCCCCTCGCGGCCAGCTCGAAGCCTGGGCACACCTCCTCCCTCCACTTCCCTCGCCGACGCTCATGTGCTTCATGCCCCAAACCCCCAGTATCCGCGCCCCTCTAAACCATTCTAGGCCCCCTCCACGCTCCAGTGCCAATGCCCTGCGACTCTTCCTCCCGCTCCAGGCACCACTGGTCACCCCTCTACTTCAAGGGCCTCACAGCCTTCTATGCCCAGCCCCTGACCCGGCACACGGAGGGCACTTGGAGGACGTTCGAGTGGTGAGAGCGTGATCACACCTGGGCACCCCTCCTGCCCCACAGAGCTGGCTTTCCTGAGCCTCTTCCTAAGGGGGGGCAGCAGCCCTCTGAGGTAACAGAACCAGCGTGAGGGGACCGCCATGGCGACGCCAGTCAGTGGGGGGAGGGGCAGGGCTGCCCGGCAACCCCACAGGTCCTCAGAGGCAGCGGTGCAGCTGGGGTCCACACCGCTGGCTCCGGCCACGCCAGAGAGGCGCCCGTGTTTTCTGATGTTACGAAAGAGGGTGCAGAGGTGGGCAGACACGGGGTCGAGGGGGGTCACTGACCAGATGTGGGATTTCATCCTCTGTCTTCTTGCTCAGGGCCACGTGTGAGCGCCCAGCGCCCAGACCGTGCGAGACCTGCTTTCCCTCCCTCCTTGACGGCACCTTGAGGCACCTTCCCTCCAGGTGGGAAAGTGGCAGGGCGCCCCGACTTCAGCCCCGGCCCATCCGGGCCACTTGGGGAGTTCTCTGGGCAGGCGGGGAGCGTGGTAGGCCACCACACACCGTGCAGGTGGCTGGGGAAGAGGGAGGGGTGCAGCGAAAGTGCCCTCAAGGGAGCTGGGAGATGGGGGAACTTGGTTTCAGCATCACCTGGGCGAGATCCTGTTTCTTTTCGAGCTCCAGGCGAGCTAATACTCTCTCTGAACACCTTTCTGAGTCCTGTGAGACAGGTTAATCTGCCAGACGCGACAGCGTTTATATGTATTAGTTTTCTCTTCTGCACAACAAATCACCCAAAAGAGTAGCTTAAGACACAGTCCCCTGGGTTGGGAACACAGACGCCAGGTCCATAACTCGGCCCTGTGCCCGGGCTCTCAGACACACTGTGGTCAGGTGGGGGGCAGTAGAGAAGGGCCCCTTTCCAAGGCACGCACGCGGCCCATTCTGTCCTCCCGGGTTGCTGGACCGTGGGCCTCCATGCCCCATGAATGGATGGCGAGAGGCCACTCTCGGCCCTTGCCATGTGGCCTCTCTACAAGTCAGTTACTGACATGGAAACTGACGCTGTCAGGCTGGGTGAGCCAAGAAGAGCCAGAGCACTCGACCAAGACATAGCCACAGGCCATGACCTCACCTTGGAAGTGGCCTGTCACGTGGCTCTAGTCTCCAGTTAGGAGCAAGTTAATCAGCCCATGGAGCACTCCGGGGTGGGGAATCTCACACTTTGACCTGCTCTCAAATGAGCAGCCCACCCACGTGCTGGGTGACCTTAGCCAAGTCACACCCCCTCTCTGGGCCTCAGATTCTTTATCTGTGGAAGGAAGTTTGGATTAGTGAACCTCCAGGACCCCTTCCAGCGCGGCTTGCTGCTTCTACGCTTCCCTTACGACAAGATGCTGCCAGTTAGGGGTGCGGAACACCCTCGATAGTCAGGCTTCACTTAGAGCTGGGGTGCATCCTGAGCGATGCATTGTCTGGTGGCTCTGTCACTGTGAAATGGAGTAAGTTACACAGACCTGCTTCGCGCAGCATGAGGGCACACGGGCACAGATGAGCCTCCTTCAATGAAACAGCTACGAGGTGAAGCCGGCTGTGTACAAAGCTTTCACCTTTCTATGTCCCCCAATTAACAAAGGCCAGTCTTTGGAGGCAAGACTATGGCGCTCCGGCTCGCGGCCCCTCCTCGCCTTTCTGCTTCCCTCCTGAAGCTTGAATGGGCAGCTGGCAAATGGACAGGGAGGCAAATAATCATCAGGACTGGGAGCTTAGGGCAATGCACCCCACAGCCAGAGGGCTCGAGGCTGCTGTGAATGCAGATAGGGGAGAAGATCAGGAAAATGACCACGGAGGAGGAAGAGGCGTCCAGGACCCCAGACCCCAGGGTTTCGGAAGGTCTCTTGGCCCTGGGGGCAGGTTGGGCAGGCTTCCCCAGCTAGGACAGGGCCTGCAGGTGCCCAGAGGCAGCCCCGTGCCAGGTGGGAGGTCTCTGGTGGGGCTGGGCACGATCACAGGCGCCCGGTTCAGCTGTGAACTCAGCCTCATCTGCGGGACAGTGTCACCTGAGCTGATGGAGGGTGTTTCTTTGTCTGCAGGACTGTGCTTGTGATTACCTGTCCCTGAGGAGGAGTGATGGAGCTGGGGCACCGAGCAGGTAGGGTGTGCTACCCGGGGTGCTGACGGCACCTCCAGGGCCTCTGGAGGACTCCCTGGGGCAGCAAGGGCAGCCCCTTCCTCCCGCTTCTCCCCCTCCCCCAGGCATGCTTTGGCTTCCCTTGTGCGGCTCGGGGGTTCTGGCCGGGAAAGGGGTGCCGCTGAGCTCCCACCGGCCAGGCAGGTGAAGACAGGTCTGCTTCATGGGTCCTCAGGGCCTCAGCAGGGAGCCAGAAACCCCTCCTGTGCAGCGCGAGGGGGAATGTGTGTGTGAGGGGCCTGGTCTGTGGGCGGGAGGTGCATGGAGGTCACGAGACAGCCAAGGGGGGGTGGGGGGGACGGGCTGCGGGAGGGGAGCAGAGCACATCTGAAGGCGAGGAAGAGTGTGGGCAAGATCTGGAGGCAAGAGAGGCCTGGAACACCGGGCATTGAACGTGGCTTGAAGGCTGCGGGGGAAGGAGGTGGCCGAGGAGGCCAGGCAGGGGCCAGGGCCCATCTCAGGGCCGGGCTCTGCCCTGAGGGCAGGGAAAAGAGCCTCAGAGCAGGAGGGGCTGGACTGGGTCAACTGCGAAGCGGGTCCCCCCCGGTGAGTGGACAGTGGTGAGGGCTGGCAGCTGGGATGTGGAGACAGGCTGGCCAGTGAGGTTGGACGGAGACTCCTGCTGGAAGCTTCCGTCTTGGGTCAGAGGTGCCAGTGGCTTGCTAGACACGGATGGTCCAGGGCAGCACCTCAGGACAGGGCCCAGGGACCTGAATCTCCATTGAGCACCCAGCTCGTGAGCTCCGAAGACTGATATGTGACCCCACAGTAGACGTGAGCCGGCCTACTCCACCCATCTTACAGTGGAAGGAAGGGGGATTGCAATGAGGCTCCTGGAACGCAGCTGCAGACATTCATTTATTCGCTCAACAAACCCCCAGCCCCGGAGGACAAGCTCAGGGCTGTGTGCTCAGGGCCTGCCACAGCACGCAACACACCATAGGTGCTGGCTCCGTGAGGGAGTCTGTGACTATTTTGACTCTGAGTCAGGGTCAGCGGAGGCTGAGCAGGAGCAAAAGCAGAGCGCGTGGGTGGAAGGAGCAGCAGGAACAAGGCCTGCTTGGAACAGGAGCCGTGGGCCGGGCCTGAACCCTAAGTGCCATGGGTTTCAGCAGCAGCTGCGTCCCTATGCTAAGCCTCAGTTTCCCCCAGGAGGGGGGGCTGTGGTGAGCAGGTAGACGACATTCCCACCCAGAAGGCTTCCTTTGCCGGGCTGGTGTGGCACACAGGGCTCTCTGCTTGCTGGGTGGGGCCTGGGAGGGAAGGCAGGAAGGCACCTGGCCTGGTGCAGGTGCGGATGACCACGGGAGCAGGCGAGGCATCGGATCTCAGCTCCCAGGATGGCCGTGGGCGGAGGGGCAGGAGGAAGCAGGCAGGCCTGGATCTGGCTGTCTCTGTCTCCACCGCTCTGGGGAAGCGTCTGCGGCCCGTCTGCGGCCCGTCTGCAGCCCCTCTGTGGGGGAGCGAGTGGTACACCTTAACCTGGACTGCTGCTTTTCAACAGCCCCTGGGACAAGGGGAGCTGGGCCAGCTGAAGGCCCCTGGCGGGCAGGCCTGCGGGGTGGGGGTGGGGGGGTGACGGACTAGGTCTTTATCTGCTGCCAGGAGCAGATCTCCCAGGGCAGGGGCTGTTCTCACAGCAAGTTACAAAGCCACGCACAGAATCTGATCTCTTCTACAAAAGAGGGGAAACAAAACCATGAAAGCTCGAGAAGGCTGGAGGCCCCGTCCTGAGCCAAGCATCTGCAGGCCGGACCCTGTTCTAGGGCAGGGGGTGCGGGTCAGAAGGAGCTGTGTGTGAGGCTGCCGTGACACCTCACACGTAACGTGAGGTGTGTGTCCCTCTGGGTGGTTAGAAGATGCATTGACTTGTGTTTCTCTCCCGTCAGTCATGTTTAGCCCTCAGACCGTGCACCGTCAGCCCAACCAGAGGTGCATGTCTCGGGGACATGGCATGTTGGGGCAGATGAGGTGCAGCTGCACATGGGGTGGGCCCGGTGGGGTCCCCGCTGCCACAGACCCTCACGCTTGCTCGCTGAAGGGTCCCGGCTGTGGGGCTGTGGAAGTCACCACGTAGGAGAAGGGGCAGAGAGATGGTCTGTAGCTCGCTACCACGCGCAGGGAAAACCAGGTCTGCGGAGGTATGTGGAACATGCTGAGCGCAGGGTCATGGAGTGGAAGGAGGGGTAGGCCCAGCCCCTTGGGGTGGGCTCAGGGAGGACTTCGGGGCTGCATTGCAAGGAATGCTAGCCCTGACTTTGGAGTGAGGAGCGAGGAGGGGCTGGCTCTCCAGGTAGGAGAGGCAGTCTGAGCCAACAGGAGCGTGAGGGCGCCCTGGGGCTGGGGACGGGGCAAGAATGTGGTACAAGGATGGGAGGGGTGCTGGGTGAGAGTCGGGGGTGACCTGACCTAGGAGAGAGGGTGGTAGGGAGGGGTGGGGGAGCAGCTCTGAGTAGCGAACAAAGACCTCCAGCGTCCAGCTCTGGAACTGTCTGGTCCTATGACTTGGCCGAGCTCAGGTGTCCTGTCGGCTTCCACAGCCTCAGGGCCTCCTCGCTGGATTATTGCGGGGGTGGGCACTAACCCAGTGGGCCAGGTGCAGCGACGCAAGGCGAGGTCATTTCCTGTGCTCAAGGCCGCACAGCTAGTCCTCCAGGCCGGACAGGTTCAGCTATGATAGTCCAGTGATGAGCACCCCGTGGGCTGACCCTGTCTGCCTTCGCTGTCTCTCCTCTGGTCTCACCGCCGCGCCCTGCCCCAGGCTTCCCTCTGTCCCAATTCACATTCCTGCTCTGGATCTCTGGAGCTCTGTTCCGTCTGCCCCCCCCACCCCATTTTTTGACTTTGCCCTCCTTCTCTCCCTCCCTCACTCTCCCCCGATTCAGGTACAACCCATTTGGCCAGAGCCCAAGTGAACAAGGAAGGCCAGCAGGACGTGGGCTCCTGGAGAACTGTCTGCCCTCCCTTGGACACCTCCAAGTGCAAGCAACAGGCCCCAGGCTCCCCACTGCGGGGAGAGAACCCCCGAGAGCAGGCCTTCCCTGATGAGGTCCGGCCTCCCCCCTCCACAGCAATCAACAGGGACTCCCCCGGCTCGGAACGGCACCCTGAGTCCCTGAAGAAGGGTGACTACAGACCCTCTTCGAGGGAGAGCCCAACCACCTTCCGAGGGGGGCCTCAGCCGTGCCAGGGGATGGAGGAGGGCCCCAACCCGGGGGCCCAGGGCCAGAGGAGCAGCGTCATTCCCGACAACATTCGCCACAAGTTTGGCAGCAGCGTGGTGGATGAGCTCGTCTCTGAAGATCAGGTGTCAGCGGGGCTCTGGGCCAAGTGGCAGGAGGGTTACCGAGAGGCTGCTCATGATCCCAAGGGATTCCTTGGACACTGCGTGACCCTTCAGGGACAGCTGGAATGTAGTGTCTATTGAGTACTTGCTATATGCCAGCTCTGGGCACTGTAAAACCTTCACATGCAACAACTCAGTTAACCTTCCCAACGAGGAAGGGGCTATTTAGTACCCCGCTTTACAGATAGAGACCAAGGCCTAGAGGTGTCAAGCAAGTCAACCAAATTCACTTCGTGTGTGGGATGAGGGTCCAGAAAGAGACTGGAGCCCCGCTCCTTGACAATTTTTCAGTGATAGGTCTTGCATCGGACGCTTTTAACTTGCATGAGTCTCCTAAAGGGAACAGCATGGAGTGGATGAATGGACAGCCTTGATTGGGAATCAGAAAACTTGGGGTTGAATCTTTGCTCTACCCCCTGAATTTTGGGTGACTTTGGATGAGTTACTTGCTCTCTCTGGGCTCTAGTCGCTACCTCTGTGAAGCGAGGCACTTGGTAGAGATCAGGCTGGCAGTTCCATGGCATGCATACCGCCATTATCCCAGCCTGCCTTCATGGCAGACATCACTAATCGATGCTGGTAGCTCTCCCCATCCGATACACCACTCCAGGGAGTCACTCAGAGCAACTGAAAGTTGAGATAAAATTCATCTGCCATTTCTGCCAAGGGTTCTTCTGGCATTTAGGAACATATTTTCAAGCCAACAGCTCAACTCTATAGCACTACATTTTACAGTATGACAGGCAAGAGCTCCTGCTAACAGATGATAAAGCCAAGGCTCGAGAAGTGGTATGATTTGTTCAGGGTCACACTGAACAGGTGGAAGACTCAGGGTCACAAAGACTGTGGTCTGGGTCTCCTTCACTTTGTCACCTTAAGGTGCAGTGACCCTACCCACCAGCTACTCTGGGAGGCCACAACCCCACCTGCAGGATCTTCCCTAATTTGACTGGCAATGTGGTTACTATCTCTCACTGCTCCTCCCAGCCTAGATGTCTATTTCTCTTTCCCATTGTTATTCTGGGCTGGAGTCAATTTTGCTATCCACCTGTGACATGGCTCCCAAATATCACATTCAGGTAACCAGCCATCATCAGAACTGGAAGCTCCAGCCCCATTTTACAAACGGGGAGACTGAGGCCCTGAGAGCACAGACTGGCCACAGACTGGCCAGAAATCAGGAGCTGGCAGAACTGGGATACCAGCCAGGTCTCCAGGTGGCTAGGCTTGGGCTCAGCCTCTCAGGGTCTCAGTTTCTCCATGGACACAAGGAAGGAGTTGGCTTCTGTGTACTCAAAGGAGCAAACTGGCATGACGCCTGGACTCTAGGAGAACAGGCGGGGCTGTGTGATCAAGAGCCCTTGCCCTGAGCCTCGATCATGAAACAGCAGGAATACCTGCCTTGCGGAGGTCTCTCCAGATGCAGGTACATGGCTGGAGCTCACTGTACGAGGACACTTTGTCACCACTGCCCTCCTGGTGTCCTGGTCCATGTGGAACTTGGGTGGTGTGCGGGTGGAAGGTCTCCAGCTGTTCTGGATCCCAGGGGTGGGGTGGTGAGAGGCTGTGGACTAAGGGTGGGGATTGGAGGTGAAGGCAGGGCCTGAGGAGGAGGAGGACTTAGAAGGGAGACGGGGCTCTATCCTGCTTCTCCATCCCTGTCTCCCCCTTCAGGCTCGAAGGGCCATTAGCGCAGCCTTGGAGGGGCAGAAGAGGGTCAACTCGTGGCCCAGCAGGACCCAGAGTCCCCTGCGAGTCTCCCCCCTCTTCTCTGACTACTACGACCTGGGCTACAACATGCGATCGAACTTGTTTCCAGGTCAGACCACTGGACACGGGCAAGGGGTGGGTCTGTGAACACCGCTGGTCTTGGGTAGGGAGGCCTTTGGGGTGTCCACACCACCTGAGACCACACACGGGGCCTGCGACTCTCAAGGCACACCCGCAGGGACTCTCATTTCAGGGCCACCCAGATGCCAGGCCTTGTGCCAAGTGCTGGGGGATGTCTGGTCCCCTAAGTCTGAACTCACCATGCAGATGGTCCACTCCAGTGGGCAACAGCCCTCTGCCCCCCTGGACGACTCTGGAGCCCCCATGTGCCAAGAGGAGGCCCGGTCACCCCTCCCTGGGCACTTTGGTGGCACTGAGAGTGTCAGGTTTCTTGGGCTTTGGGCTCAGCTCAGCCACTCCTTGGGCATGGCCTTGAGCAGTTCACTTCCACCTCCCTGAGCCTCCGCCAGCTTGGGGATAATCATCACAACCCCACCCTCACTATGCCCTTGGCAGGATCTTGCAGAAGGCTCCTGACCCAGGGCACTGCATGAGCTCAGCACGGGAAGCAGTACTTTTCTCTCCCAGAGTCTGGTGGTGGCACCCCTTGGGGAGAGAGGGTGGGGAGAGCTCAGGCTTCAGCTGGCTCGCTTGCGGCCTTTGTGGGCCATTAGCTCCAGTCTGGGGGCAGATCAGACACCTGCCAACACCTCCCAGCAGGATGAGTGGAGCTGAAGCTCAAAGCCAGGTTTCTTCTGCCTCCGATGCCCCCAAGCCTCGCACAGGGTCACTTCCGGCTACAGCCCTGTTCCCAAGGACTTAATGGCCAGCAGGCAGGGCCTTCTCTCCGCCCTCACACTCAGTTTGACCTCACTGCGAAAGGCCTCTTCCTCCCTCCCTCCTCCTGCAGGGGACCTCCAGGGCCCTCCCCAGGACCTGGCACACCACCTCCACCTGCTCAGATCTCCATCCCCCAGGGCACTACCCCACTGAGCTTTGGACAGGGATGCTGCTGTTGGGGAACCCAGCCCTGGGCCTCAGGGGTGCTGTCAGGCGCCTCTTTATCACCAAATAGTTCTTGCCTCTTGGGTCATGGCAATGTCCACAAAAATATATTAAAATAAATGATAAAGAAAGAAAGAAAAACACCTGAGACCCATCATCCAGCCTGAGAAACACCTGAGCCAAAGGTGTTCTGGAACAGCTCCCAGCAGCCTGCAGCTGCTCACGAAAGTCTGTTGTTACCTTTTCCTCAACCAATTAGCGTCACACATTACTTCACAATCAGTCGTAGTGGGGTTATGCTCCAGAGCTTGGCAAGCGCCATCAAGTAGGGCTGGACCCTTAGACGATTCATCGGTAGCCTCACCCCCCCAGCGCCCTTCTCCTGCCCACGCATGTTAGCTTCCGCCCTCGGCAGGCTCTCGCAGGAGTGAGGAAGAGGAAATCAGAGAGGAAACAGGACTGGGGGAGCTTCTGCCCGATGAATGGGCAGCAGGGGGCAGCGGAAGGCATCGTCTGGCTGGGGTTGGAGCCTCACTCCGGAAGGGATGGAGGGGGCTGGGCAGAAGCAGGGCGACTGGGGAGGAGACAACTACAGAAGTCCAGCTGGACCTGGCTTGACAGCCGGGCACAGCACGGTGTGGCGGCGGGCGAGAGGCAGCGGGCTTCTGGGCGCTGTGAGGGAGAGCAGAGAGAATATGCTAAAGCTTACACCTAGAGTGGGCAGACAGGCCTTAAGATTGATGTTGCTCTATCTGACCTGAACAACCAGGAGGATGGAACGGCTATTGACTGAGACAGAGATGAGATCGCATGTCATGCTTAGTCATGAACTGAATCTTTTCTTGGTCTTCAAAATACTTAGTTTGCTTTTTCACATCTAAATCTCTAATCCACTTGGAGTTAATTTCTGTTTTAACTGTGGGAAGCAGGGATTCGCCTTTAGTTCCTCCTTTGCACAGATTACCTTTCAGTAAAGAGCCTCATCTGCCCCTGCCAGCCCCCCCAGGCCTGCGGGCTCCACTGGCCTCCACCAGTTTTCCATAGGTGCCCGGGTCAGATTCCGACTTCCTATTTTGCCTGTTGGTTTAATATTACACTTAATTACTTAATTAGATATTAACTGTAGTCTGATATCTGGTTGGGTAACCTATCCGCCCGCCTGGCCCTATTTCCATTGCAAATATTTCAGCTATTTTAGTTACTTTATTCTTCTATGAAGTTTAGAATCAGCTTGTTAATTTCGAAAAATTATCCAGTTGGGATTTTGATTGGAAGTACATTGAATCTAAAGCTAAGTTAGGAAAGTTGTCAGCTTTATGAGCATGAATTTTTCTTTTTCTTTTTTTTTGATCATAAATTTTTCTCATCCATGAATATGATATGCAGCTCCAGCAATTTAAATCTTCTACATCTGTCAGTAACAGTTTGTAATATTTTTATGTTATGCATGATTTTTGTTTGATGTAGAACTTTGCTGCCTATTCCAAATAATACCTTTTAAAAATTATAATTTTCTCATTGGGATTGGAACTCCGGCAGCCTTGGGGCAGGATTCCACGATGATAAGCTCACACACAGATGAGCAGTTTGTTTTCTGACTGTGCCTTTCTTTCAGTATCCTGTTATTGCTCCACGCCACAGCCCTTTTTTCTCCAAAAGTATTAACTGCAACCCCTGTTCCTGTGAGGTCTCTCCCTCCCTAGCCCACAGCTCTCTCCGTGGCATCCCTGTTAGAGCTTGGCTTGGTCGCCCTTGACTCTGCTCCTCATCTGCTCATGGCCATCACAGGCTTTCTAGAAGCTCTGAGCCCGCCGTGCACTCCTCATTCCTGAGCTTCTGAAGGTGTCTGAGTTACCTTTGTCCTGGAGCTCTGATGGCTGATGGCTGTGTACTGGGCTGGTCAGATTCCCCAGAAAAGTCCACTGCTCTCTTGCCTGGGAGCAGAGGGGGCCTAGCGAGAGCTGCGTAGGAAGAGAGCTGGCATGCTTCTTCCAGCACCCACACCGCCCGTGTGCGCGCCCCCGCCAGCCCTCCTGGGTATAGGGCTCACCGGGCATGATGGGCTGGGGGAGAGGAACTGGTACCCCAGTCCTCCTTCGACCCCAGTTTTCTTATTCTCTTCCGGTCCAGAGGTCTGTAGTTTTGACAGTTGGGGGGATTCCATGGTGTAAATGACTTGCCACTATTAACCAGAACTTTGACACTGTTATTTCTCCTCTGATTTCACCCATCCTGTGGGCTTTTGTCTTTAAAAAAGTTACGCGTATCCTTTCCTGAGGGAGCAATAATGTGTATTTTTAATTCATTTTCATAACCCCAAATGTACACTTAATCTTTCAAACACACACACACACAAGCCCCCCACTGTAGACCCACTATGAGGCCCCAACCTCTGCTCCTGGGGTTTCTTGATGGGGTCCCACAGGGGCTACTGAAGAGATGAAGAGCCTCATGAAGGCCTCCTACACTCCAGAGGTAATCGAGAGATCCGTGCGGGACACTGAGCACTGGCATGGCAGGAAAACAGATGACCTGGGTAGGCGCGGAGCTGGGGTGCGTGGGCTGGGCACCCCTCGTGGAATGAGGCCAGGGTGACATGCTGGGGGGGGAGGGGGACGGGGCAGGAAGCAGGTGGGTCACCCTGGGGCCACAAGTCCCCCGAGTGATCTGGGCTGGTGCTTTCCCCACTCTGGGCAGGACGGTGGCACCAGAAAAACGCCATGAACATGAACCTGCAGAAAGCACTGGATGAAAAGCATGGAGAGAAGAGTAAGCCTAGCCCCTCCAAGCGCTAGCCACAGCTCAGAAGAGGTGTCCTCTGCTCAGAGAAGTGGCTTCAGTAAATCGCACATCTGAACAGCCTCCTCTGTGTGGTGCTTTATGTTGGGGTGCTGAGACAGCTGAGGGAAGACAGGAAGCCCGAGGACCCAGAGTCTACCCAGCCCTGCCCCACTCACCCCCTCCCCTGCTCCGGACATGCAGACAGCTACACAGCTTCCTGCCTAATCCCGAAGGGGGCTGAGAGCCCCGTGCGCCCCCCCACCCCAGTCCAGCGTGCCTAGTGTCAGCCTGTCCCCAGTAATGCCAGGGGCTCGAAACTCCAAGGGCGGCCACTGCCTGGAGAGTGCGTTCCCTGTGCTGAGTCCCTGCAGACGCTCTGTGGCCAGAGCCAAGGCGGCTGCACGGGCTTTGTGGTTACGACGACACCCACAGGGACACCCACAGGGAAAGGCTGCTGTTCCCAGGCCCTGGAGGGGGCAGGCGTCCCTGGGGCAGTTGCAGGTGAAGTTGCAGGACTTGAGACTCTACCCTGGGGTCAAGGGTGGGCGTGCACGATTTCTAGGGTTTACTCTGTGCGTGAACTTGAAACACAAGAGCAGGAGTTCAAGTGTGGGAAGAAAAAGCAAAGAGTCACCGAGCCGGCTAGCTTTATATATATATATATTTTTAAAAAAGCCACCCGGGACTTTTATATATATATTAAAATATATCGTTTACAAGGGTTTTTAAAAAGGGGGCGCTTCTAGATGGTGGTCGCTCAGACGCGTGGCGACCTTCCTCCCGGAGTCACCGTCTCTGTGGCAGAGGGCCAGCAGGGGCGGCAGCAAATGCAAAGGAAATTCAAGGGCAGCGGCAGCGGGTCAGCCCCAGGCGCCGCCACCTGGGCTCGAGCCTGGGGGACCCACCCTGCTCAGAGCTGGCCCCGCACCGGCCATGGGGTGACCCCTCCCTCGGCTGCAGCCTCCGCACACGGCCGGCTCAGCACTTCCCCTCGCAGCCGGTAGGAGGCGCTGCTGGTCACCCCCCCCCCCCCCAATTCCATCTGTTGCAGTGGGCAGGGCACCGAACCGATGGGGTCACGAGAAACACTGGTCACTGCCCAATGAATTGCTCTCCCGGGTTTCTATCACACTAGACAGCTTTGTTTGGGGCAAGACGCCGTCGGCTGACTGCTGACTGCCGCGTCGCTCCAAAGGATGGCGGCTCGCTATCCCCTCCGCGCCAGGTGAAGACAGAGCAGCCGCCCAGGGGGGAGAACACTGATTTCAGAGAAACAGCAGGTTCAGAAGCCTGGAGGACAGGGGCAGCTGGTGGACTGTGCCAACTAGGAGGTTGGCTGTGGGCTCCCAGAGAATGCTGTGGCCCAAGAGCCTGGCACCCCACACAGGGAGCAGATGAGTGATCAGAGGGTGGGAGTCTGTCTCAGGATGGGGGGGAGCCCAAGGGGGGGTTCCTGGAGGTGCTGCAGGAATTGGGGGGTGGGGGAAGTTGGGGAGGACCAGCCCAGCCTCCTGCTCACTGCCCTGCGCTGCAGGCTTCCAGCAAGAGGGGACCTGCTCTGCATGGGCAGGAGGCTGCCCTGGCCACCCTATTTCCAGTCTCTCTCCGATGGGCCGGCATTTACTAAGCCCCTACTATGTGCTGGGTGTTGGTCACCCTGAGGAGACACGGACGAGGAATCCAGTGTTCAGTGTGCTCTGGGCTGGGGTGACCAGTGGGGGGTGAGGGGACGACAGCACGCAGTGTGGGGTGGGACCCCCAGTGGGAATTCAGGAGATGCAAACACTAGCCCACGCCCCAGGTGACTCAGGGGGAGTGTTGCCAAGACTCTGGAGCAGGTCAGGGTCCCGGTATAGACTTGATGGCAATAGAATGTTCCAGAACTGAGGGAAGAAAATTTATGATTGCTGGCCTCTTTGGAGACAGTAAGCGACGCATCTAAAGCTGCTCGCTGGCCCTCAACCCCTTGAGGGCTGTCTCCAAGCCCTCAAGACTCAAAGCCAGTGCAAGCCCACTGCGGAAAACAACCTGGAGACCGAGCTCAACGCACGCAGCTTGATCACGCCACACCTGTGCAGTGTAGGCGTCTTCATCAGCCCTATTTTATGAACCTGGAAACGAGGCACAGAGTGGTACCAAGGTCACACAGCAAGTTAGTGCTGCAGGTGGGGCTGGAGCCCGGGGTGTGACTCTGAAGCCCCTGCTCTTAAGTGGGTTATGTTGTTGAAGGGAAATGTAAACAGTGGTTCCTTGGGAATTAGTATGGGCAGGGTGAGGCTTCTAGAATGTTTGTACAAAGAGTTCAGAGGAGGAAGTTCACACAGATTTTCATGTTTGCTGCTGGTCCTTAAGTTCTCTTGGTAACAGAATGCCAGAGGCCTCTAAAGCTGGCGAAGGAGCAGAAAACTTGCAGAGAACTTGATCTGAGTAGAAACCAGGCAACCTGGTCAAGGAAAAGAAGGCCAAACCATGTCTCCAGGCAGCAAAGCCTGGGTTTCTGGGCCGCAGCACCCAAGCTCCCTCCCCAAAGCGAAGCTCCAGCACACACCGGAAGGCATTGGGGACTCTGGCCTCTTATTTAAGAAAGGAGGAAACTGAGGCACATAGTGGCAAGCCAAGTACAAGGGAGTCCTGGGTGGCGACCTCGCTTCCCCGGCTAGCTCAGTTCAGGGTGGATGGAGCGGGAGTCTGGCCTGGGATTCTCCTTCCAGATCCTGCTGGCTCCAGGGCCAGGCAGCTGAGCCTCCATCCCTCATCCACGCGGGAGTGGGGGGGGCATCGGGGAACCGACCTGGGAGGTGGCGCGAAGGGAAGAGCTCCTGATGTCCTGCGCAGTCCAGAGGAGGTGCCTCATAAGGGCTGCTTAGACATTCTCCACCTTCTCCACAGAGATCATTTAAAAAGGAGGAAGCAAAGGAAAGTAAGAAGGAAGAAACCCTTTCGTTTGGGAGGTAGGGAATGTGAGAGGGGACCTGAGAGCAGAAGTCAGACTCGGGTGCCTCCGTCTTGGGAGTCCCGTTAAGGCTTGGCAGCAGACAGATAAACACATCACCCCTTCATCCTCAGATGTCCTGGCTGAGCAGAGCAAATTCACACACAGACACCTATGCACACGCTGTCCTGGAACAGCCCCTGAAGACAGCCCTGAAGGCTGGTAGGGCGGTCTCAAAATGCAGGGTCCCAATCAGCAGATGCCCAACAAGGATTTTCCAGGGTTCCAGCAAGGGTCCACTTGAGCGCCACCGCGAGGACATCCTGGCTGGGAGCAGGAAACCAGGAGGCCGGAGGAAGTTGATACCATGTGCATGAAAAATTCGGGGCAGCAGAAAGAGCTTCACTCCCTCCAGGAGCATGGGGGCGCCAGTTTCCTGGCACTTGCAGCCTCTGGCACACTCTGCTCACAGAAGGCCCTGGCGGCACTGGCGGCAGAGGTCAGGTGGAGGGGTGCCCGGACGGGCAAAGCTGCAGGGCCGCGGTGTCAAGGCAAACAAAACCAGGTGTCAGCGAACGCCCTGAAAACAGATTCCACCCAGGAACTTCTCACTGAGTCTGCTCAGATGTGGTCAGAGGAGGCTGAGTTTCAAAGGAGATCCAGGGAGTAGGGAAGGGAAGGTGGCTCAGGTGAAGACATGCCAGGCCGGGGAGGTGTGCGGTGTGTGTCCCGCCTGCTGTGCCTGTGGGCGGCAGCAGGGAAGTTGGGGCTCTGTTCTCCCATAGAGATGGGGCATCAGAGGCCAGTGCTCCCTGGTGAAGACTGTGTGGCCAAGAACTGGCTCTCAGACCTTGAGAAAGCCACTCCTGGCCAGAGGGAGGGTTTCACGATGGCAAACTGGAGTGACCGCTCCCAGGCTAACGCCGGGCGTGGCGAGGAGAATGACCACCAACACTAAGTCCCGCAACTCGAGCTTTCTCAGGCAGGCCCAGCAGGAGCTGAGGTCAACCCGGGGACACGACCGAAGCCACTGGAAGCCGGGCCAGGGACGGTCAATGCTTAATGCAGGGGTCTGGGTGTGGCTGAATGTACTGAGAGTTCTGCGGTTTTCAGTGGGCGGAACACCTGTGACCGGCAGGGCGGGGAGCACCTGTGTGTCAGTCCCCATCCCTGTCAGTCCCCAGTGGCCTGAGCTACAGGCCTGAGGCTCTCATGCCCTGGAGCACAGAAACCCCCCCCCCCGCGTGAACGTAAGTCACCTACACAGCATGTAGACACAGAGCAAGTGGCACCATGCAAACACACACGGCTACATGTTTGCAACACACGTGTGCGGCATGCAGACCCGTCACGAGCACGCACAGGCCAGACGTGAGCATGCAGGCAGGTGCCTCCCAGGTGTGCCATCTCCCCAGACTCACACACAGAGGCTCACACGGGCGCCCACTTGGTTCAATGCTCAGCTGTCACAGTTTTGAAAGGCTAAAAGATTTGCACAGATGCGCCCCAGGTGTTCACCCTCTCCTTCCGCCGTGCCCTGTCTCCCACTTCTTTACACACACGAAGCTCCTTCCTCAACCGGAACCAAAGGGCTGAAAATGAAAATGCACCTGCGGCCGGGCCGGTCCCCACACACGGGACCAGCTGGCGTAATGTCAGCTCCTGACCCCTAGGTGGCAGCACCGAGCCGAGCCAAGGCTCAGCCAGTACTGGACAGGAGGGGGGGGCTGCTGGAGAAAGGGGTGTCCCTGCGGCACCCCCGGGATTAAGACAGTGCCAGGACAGTGGCAAAGAGGAGGACAGGTCACTGCTTGTGGACTCTCACCTCTGTGCTGAAATCGCAAGGCATCTCCGGCTCAGGGGTTTTGTAACAAACAGAAGGTCGGGGAACGAGCTTCCGAAGCCGCGCGTGGCCGGCTGTCTCGCCCCAGGTAGTGGCCACAGTGTCCAGGAGTCCCAAATACAGGCTGGAGGCACGCTGCACCGGGCTCCCTCGGTGGGCTGGGCTTCTCAATTCAGGGCCCTGCACAACGCTCGGAGGGAGCCGCCATGTTGACCTGGCGAGCTGTGGGCCAGTCTCCCCGCAGCTTCAGGGA